GGAAAACCTTTATCTCTCCTTCTATTCTGAATGACAGACTTGCTGGATAAAGGATTCTCGGCTGCATTTTTTTTTTCTATTCATCACATTGAAGATGTCTTGCCATTCCTTTCTAGCCTGCCAAGTTTCAGTAGATAGAACTGTCACTAGTCTTATTGGTCTCCCTTTATAAGTAAGAGCCTGTTTATCCCTAGCTGCTTTCAGGATTTTCTCTTTATCCTTGTATTTTGCCAGTTTCCCTATGCTGTATCATGCAGAAGGTCTATTCAAATTACGTCTGAAGGGAGTTCTCTGTGCCTCTTGGATTTCAATGCCTTTTTCCTTCCCCAGATCAGGTAAGTTCTCAGCTATGATTTTTCAAGTATGCCTTCAGCCCCTTTCTCTCTCTCTTCCTCTTCTGGAATTCCTATTATACAGATATTGTTGCACTTGATTGCATCACTTAGTTCTCTAATTCTCTCATTTTCCTAGATTTTTTTCTCTTTTTCTCAGCTTCCTCTTTTTCCATAATTTTATCTTCTAACTCACCTATTCTCTACTCTGCCTCTTCAATCTGAGCTGTGGTCGCCTCCATTTTGTTTTGCGCCTCATTTATAACATGTTTTAGCTTCTCATGACTGTTTCTTAGTCCCTTGATATCTGTAGCAAGAGATTCTCTGCTGTTCTGTATACTTTTTTTCAAGCCCACCAATTAATTTTATGACTATTATTCTAAATTCTTGTTCTGTTATATTGCTTAAATTGTTTTTGATCAATTCTTTAGCTGTCACTACCTCCTGGAGTTGCTTTTGAGGAGAATTCTTCCGTTTTGTCATTTTGGATAGTCCCTGGAGTGGCACAGAACTGCAGGACACTTCCCCTGTGCTGTCTGGAGTAACTTGTGTTGGTGGGCGGGGCCGCAGTCAGCCCCAATGTCTGTCCCCAGCCCACCGCTGGGGCCACAGTCAGACTGGTGTGTACCTTATGGTGTGTGTACCACATATGTGTCACATATGTACCACATATGTGTACCACACACACAGTCAGACTAGTGTGTACCCTCTCCCAGGGGCAGGACTCACTGTGGAGTGGTGTGGCCCCTGTCTGGGCTACTTGCAAACTGCCAGGCTTGTGGTTCTGCTTTGATGGGATCTGGCGTATTAGCAGGAGTGGATCCGCAAGGTGCAGAGGAGCAGGAAGGGCATGCTTATATTGCTTTGCCATTTGTGGTCTCCTGTGGGAGGAGAGGGAGGCAGGCAGACCTGTTGGAGGGATGGATCCACAGAAGCACAGCGCTGGGTGTTTGCGAGGTGCAAGCAAGTTTGGTGACGGGGGCTGGTTCCCTTTGGGATTTTGGCTGGGGGATGGGCGAGGGAGATGGCGCTGGAGAGGGCCTTTGTTCCCTGCCAAACTGAGCTCTGTCCTCCGGGGCTCAACAACTCTCCCTCCCATTGTTCTCTAGCCCTCCCGCTCTGGGAGCAGAGCTGTTGACTTATAACATTCCAGATGTTAAGTCCTGCCTGCTCTCAGAACTCAAGGAGTCTGGGCCCTCCGTTTTGCAAAGCCAGACTGGGGGCTCTGCTTTGCTGGTGGGCTGCCCCTCCACCCCGGCTCCCTCCCACCAGTCCGTGTAGCGCACACCACCTCTCCACCCTTCCTACCCACTTCCGTAGGCCTCTTGTCTATGCTTGGCTCCGGAGAGTCCATTCTGCTAGTCTTCTGGTGGTTTTCTGGGTTATTTAGGCAGATGTGGGTGGAATCTATGTGATCAGCAGGGACGGTGGGCCCAGCGTCCTCCTACACCATCTTCTCCCCTCAGATTTAAGTCACTAATATTTTAAATAGCTCACACTTTAAATAAGATTTAAAATCTTGCCTCACATCTTCACACAAAAACCAACATTACAACTTTACTTTTTTAAACATTCTGGAATAAATGGAGAACTTAACAGAACAGAAGCTACAAAGGGAAGTGAATTAATCTCTAAATGAAACATGCATGCAAACAGAAATGTCCATCATTACAGAGTTAAGAGTTATTACTCAGCCATCAAAAATAACAAAATCTTGCCATTTACAATTATGTGAATGGAGCTAGAATGTACTTATGCTTAGTGAAATAAGTTAATCAGAGAAAGACAAATACCATATGATTTCATTCATATGTGCAGTTTAAGAAACAAAATAGACGAACACATGGGAAGGGAAAAAAAGAGAAGAGATGGAAATAAATTGTAAGATACTCTTAATGACTAGAACAAACTGAGAGTTGACAGAAGGTGTAGGGTGGGACTTGGGCTGGATGGGTGATGGGTATTAGGGAGGGCACTTGCGGTGATGAGCACTGGTTGTTGTATGTAAGTGATGAATCACTGACTTCTACTCCTGAAGCCAGTATTGCACTGTATGTTGACTAACTAAAATTTAAGTTAAAAAGTTAACCACATTTTGCTAATTTATGATGTCATATTATAGTAGGAAAATACTATTCATAAAATAAAAACGTGTATATATTTATATATAAATAAATATATTTAATTCATACACATATTCATACCAATCAAGATAAAATCCAACTTCTTTACTTGTTCCATGGAAGCAACACCTGTACCAACAGAACCTGTTTGACCCTGTGGTAGTTCCATATTGAGACCAAGGCCACAATTTAAAAGTTATTAGCATAAATTAATGTTAATATAGGCATTTTCCTCTTTATCTTATTATGATAAGCAATAAAATAGGCTTATTGCAAATTTGAATATTCCACCTAACATTGTACCTTAATTTAAATAAAAAAAGAAAACTGATTCAATTTTATAAATGTAAACAGCACTCAAACATTTTCTGAATGTCCACCTTAGGATAAATGAATTTATAAATTATAAAGCATTTTTCTTAAGCCCTAATGGTATCCCATGTGGATGATAATCTTACGATAAAAAAGCCAACAAAGAGGATAATGATCTGGTCATTTGAATAAAAGACAAACACAATAGTCATTCAATGTATTTAATTTACTGGAGATTACTATATATCTCCTACTATGAAGGAAAATTAATATACCTAAAAAAGGTAAAACAGGCTAGACAAATATAGCTTCAGGTTTCATACCTAATATCTGGACTATCTTCAAGTTAGTTGGAATCATTAATTGCATCTACCTATAGAACTGAGGTTTAGACAAGTTAAGTACACTTGTCCAAGATTGCTCTAATGATAGATAGGATCTGAACCCAGGTTTGTCTGCCTCCAAGGCCCATGATTTTAATCTCTATTATACTCCTCCTCCAGGATATAAACTAGCCTTTCTGTCTGTATCTGGACCACTGTATGCAAACCAATTTGAAAACACTACTGAAAATAGAGTAACTTTAGCAGTCATTAGGAGATTCTACAGACAGATTATTATTTAAAAGATAAAGATATGCTATGCTAAATTTTGTTGAGGGAATCACAAAGAAACAAAATTTGGATACTTAAACATCTTTAAAGATGGGCATTAGTATTTTGACATCAGTGGTCTACCTGTTTCTACTGCTCCAGTCACCACCCATTATGGATATATCTCATCTCTTTTAATTTTGACCTCCCGCCCCTAAGGAACATTTGACAATGTCTGGAGACATTTTATACTGCCAATACTGCTACCTTTATCTTGTGGGTAGAGAACAGTGATGCTACCAAACATCCTACAAATTCACAGAACATTTAGCCCAAAATGTCAATAGTGTTGAGGTTGAGAAATCCTTCTCTAAATCTTATCAAAAAGTTGTCTGTTAAACTTGGTTTTCCACTGAAGGTCAGGAAAGCTATAATGTGGCAATGTCCCTTTTACAATACCTCTCTTGCTGTATTTTCAAGCCCAATCTTCTTATTTAGTCTTTGGTAGGAACAGAAACAAGTCCTTAGCCTCATACGACTAAGATGGAGTCTTCTGATACTCAATACCTTGGTATCTTTTATAATACTTAACAAAAGTCACCATTCCTGCTACCTGCCTGTCAATATGTGGGCTGCATCAGGATACTAACAAAGCCAAATACTGTACTACCTAACCCCCAGCTCTTTTCTCAAATACTGCAAACCCGATTTACTAACCTGTGTTTTAATTTTACTAAAGATTCATTAGTGATATAAGGAGCCGATAAACTTAATTGTTCATATTAATCAGGCATTAGACACTAGAATAATATTCATCAATTAAATTTTCCACCTGTCTTCAAATCTTCTCTTCCCAGGAGAAAATAATAGAGTACATAAACTATATTTCAATCTATTACTCTACCTTTGATGATAAAGTATAAAATTTAGTATCACCCAGTTTTACTCTATGTGTTTGAAAAATGTATTTTTATTCTTTAATACAACGTTTTCTTGAAGTAAACAATATACCAGAGACTAATGATATAACATGACTTCTATAGCATAGATATTATCATGATCAACTTATTCCCCTCAAACATGAAGGACCTGAAATAAACATCCCGTTAACACAAACTCTATTTCTAATAGCAGTACCAGAAAGGGTGTCATTTACATTTTTAAAAAAGACCATCTGCAATGATGTAATGTTGACATCTTTTGAACCCCTTGAATATCTTGCACATATTTCTCAGATTTCAGGACTCAAACTGGGCTTAAAACTTAATGGCCCAATCACAGCAAAATTGTTTTGGAAGATCTAGTTTAAAAAATCCAAACATTTGATACATGTTGAACACAGAAGATACTGAAGGTATTGAGGAAATGTTTAAAAACTCCTGCCCTCCTCAGTTACCTTCCTCCATTTCTTATCAACAACTAAATGAATGCATCTCCAGAGATTGTTAAGAAGATATTAGGATGATCTAAGCAGAGCCACATTTTATGAGCATGGAAAAATGTTGGATCTTCCAACAATAAATTCTAGGGTCAAAAATCTAACTCTATTTCTCATAAAGACAAATATCTTTATTTGCATTATATAATCTTAGACCCAAAGATATTAAATCAACATTATCCAAAAGCACTTGAATAATTTCTTACCCAGCTTCAGCTGCCATTTCTTGAAGCAGCATAGCCACTTGGTTCTGGAATAAGAAAATGAGAACTTGTATTTTAATGGTATCGCATTTTACATGGTTTTTATGATTTTGCTTTAAAAAAAGAACTGCAAATGACAAAAATTCATTTTTACCGCTGAGTAGTATTCCATTATACACACACACACATGCATGCACGCACACACCACATCTTCTTGATCCATTCATCAGTTGATGGACACTTGGGCTCTTTCCATAATTTGGCTTTTGTTGATAGCACTGCTTTGCAACAATGTAGATGGAACTAGAGGGTATTTGGATAAGCAAAAGAAATCAGAGAAAGACAGATACCATATGATTTCACTCATATGTGGAATCTGAGAAATTCAACAAATGAACAGGGGAAGGGAAGGAAAAATAAGATAAAAACAGAGAGGGAATCAAACTATAAGAGACTCTTAAATGCAGAGAACTGAGGATTGTGGGGGTGGGTTAAATGGATGATGGGCATTAAGGAGGGCACGTTTAGAGATGAGCACTGGGTATCATATATAAAAGATGAATCACTGGGTTCTACTCCTGAAGCCAAGACTATACCGTATGTCAACTAAGTTGAAAAGGAAGGGACCGGGAGAGGAGCAGGAGGAGGAGCAGAAGCAGCAGCAGCAGAAGAAGCAGCAGTAGCAGAAGAAACAGCAGCAGAAGCAGAAGAAACACCATAAACAGAAGCAGCAGCAGCAGCAGAAGAAGAAGGAGCAGAAGGAGCATGAGAAGCAGCAGAAGCAGAACGAGCAACAGCCAACAGCAGAACCAGCAGAAGAAGCATCAGCAGCAGCAGCAGCAGCAGCAGCAGCAGCAGCAGGAGCAGGATAAGGAGCATGAGAAGCAGCAGCAGCAACAGCAGAAGCAGCAGCAGCAGGAGGATCAGGAGGGGCAGGAGCAGGAGAATCAGCAGCAGTGGCAGAAGCAACAGCAGCAACAGTAAAAGCAGCACAGTGGAAGAAGCAACAGAAGCAGAAACAGAAGAAGCACTAGAAGCTGAAGCTGAGCAGCAGAAGAAGCAGAAGCAGCAGCAGCAGCAGAACTAGTCTACAATTTTTTTAATGTTTGTTTATTTCTGAGAAGAGAGAAGAGCCTGAGTGAGGGAGGGGCAGAGAGAGAGGGGCAGAGAGACAAAGAATCCGAAGCAGGCTCCAGGCTCTGACCTGTCAGCACAGGGCCCAAAGAGGGGCTTGAACCCACAAACCGTGAGATCATGATTTGAGCCAAAGTCAGACTCTTAACCAACTGAGCCACTCAGTGACCTGGTCTACAATTTTTAAAAAAAAGTTTTAAAAAATATAATTTTTTACCACCAGAGGGAGCTAAATTACTTCAGAAAATAATTTAGTTCTCTCAATAATGTTAAAATTATAAAGCCTTCAACTATGAGGTTATGTGAAAAATATCAGCAATGATGTTCACTTATAATTTTAATCTGAGTAATGTAGCTCTCTTTAATGCAGTGAATCAGTTTCTTAAGCTCTGTTCTAGCCCAATTTACCTGTCTTTTTTTTTCTTTTTTCAAGTTTTTATTTAAATTCAGGTAAGTTAACATAGTATATTACCTTCAGGTGAAGAATTTAGCTATTCAGCACCTACATAAAACAGCCAGCATTCATCACAACAAATGCCCTCCCCCGTACTAACCAGCACCAATTTAGAGCATGAAACTGCCCACCTCTCCTCCAGTAACCCTCAGTTTGTTCTCAACAGTTGAGAATCCACTTTCTGGTCTGTCACTCTTATTTTTATTTCCCCCTATGTTCATCTGTTTTGTTTCTAAATACTACAAATGAGTGAAATCATACAGTATTTGTCTATGTCTGACATTTCACTTAGCATGACACTCCCTAACTACATCCACAACATTGCAAAACACAAGATTTTATTTTTTTTATGGATGAGTAATATTCCATTGTATATATACCACATCTTTATCCATTCATCAGTTGATGGGCATTTGGACTCCTTCCATAATTTGGCTAGGGTTGATAATGCTGCTCTAAATATCTGGATGCATGTATCACTTTGAATCAGTACTTTTGTATCTCTTGGGTAAATACCTAGTAGTGCCATTGCTAGGTTGTAGGGTAGTTCTAACTTTTTGAGGAAACTTCATACTGTTTTCCAGAGTGGCTTCACTATTTTGCATCCCAGGAACAGTGTAAGAGGGTTCCCTTTTCTCTGCATACTTGCCAACCTCTGTTGTTTCCTCGTTGTTAATTTTAGCCATTCTGACAGGTGTGAGGTGATATCTCATTGTAGCTTTGATTTGCATTTTCCTAATGATGAGTGATGTTGAGTATCTTTTCATGTGTCTGTTAGCCATCTGTGACATTCCTTTGAAGAAATGTGTATACATGTCTTCAGCCTATTTATTAACTATATTATTTGTTTTCTGGGTGTTGGGCTTTACAAGTTTTTCTATCAGATATGTCAATGTCAAATATCTTCTCACATTACAAAGGTTGCCTTATAGTTTTTTCATTGTTTCCCTTGATATGCTGAAGCTGTTCATCTTGATGAAGTTCAAATAGTTTATTTTTCTTTTGGTTCCTTTGCCTCAGGAGATCTATCTAGTAAGAACTTGCTACAGCCAATGTCATAGAGGTTACTGGCTGTGTTCTCCTCTAGGGTTTTGATGATTTCCCTGCCTCATATTTAAGTAATTCATCCATTTTGAATTTATTTTTGCATATGGTGTGAGAAAGTGGTCCAGTTTCATTCTTTTCCATGTTATTGTCCAGTTTTCCCAACACCATTTGTTAAAGAAACTCTTTTTCCGGGGCGCCTGGGTGGCTCAGTCGGTTGAACATCTGACTTTGGCTCAGGTCATGATCTTGCAGTTCGTGAGTTCAAGTCCCATGTTGGGCTCTGTTGCTGACAGCTCAGAGCCTGGATCCTGCTTTGGATTCTGTGTCCCCCTCTCTCTCCGCCCCACCCCTGTGTGTGCTCTCTTTTAAAAATGAATAAACATAAAAAAAATTTAAAAAAAAGAAACTCTTCCCCATTGGATATTTTTTCCTTTGCTGAAGATTAGTTCACCATAAATTTGTGGGTCCATTTGTAGGTTTTCTATTCGTTTCCATTGATCTATGTCTGTTTTTTTTTTCCAGTACCATACTGTCTTGATCACTACAGCTTTGTAATATAACTTGATGTCCACGTTTGCGATGCCTCCAGCTTTGCTTTTCTTTTTCAAAATTGTGTTGGCTGTTTGGCGTCTTTTGTGGTTCCATACAAATGCCAATATTGTTTGTTCTAGCTCTGTGAAAACTGCCGGTGGTATTTTCATAGGGATTGCAATAAATGTGTTGACTGCTTTGGATAGTATAAACATTTTAACAATATTCTTCCAATCCATGGGCATGGAATGTCTTTCCATTTCTTTGTTTCCTCTTTAATTTGTATCATCAGTGTTTTAGTTTCCAGAGTAGAGATCTTTTACCTCTTTGGATGATTCCTCAGCATCTTATGGTTTTTAGTGCAATTGTAGATGGTATTGATTCCTTGATTTCTCTTTTTGCTGCTTCATTATTGGCGTAGAGAAATGCAACAGATTTCTGTACATTGACTTTATATCCTGATACTTTACTGAATTCATGTATCAGTTTGAACAACTTTTTGGTGGTCTTTTGGGTTTTCTATATAGATGATTTCATGCCATATGCAATAAGTAAAAGTTTGATTTCTTCCTTTATTTGGATACCTTTTTGTTGTCTGCTTGCTAAGGCTAGGACTTCTAATACTGTCATACATAATCGTGGTGAGAGTGGACATTCCTGTGTTGTTCCTGACCATAGAGGAAAAGGTCTCAGTTTTTCCTCATTGAGGATATTAGCTCTGAGCTTTTCGTATATGGCCTTTATGACACTGAGGTATGTCTCATCTTTCCCAACTTTTTTGAGGGTTTTTATCAAGAATGAGTGTTGTACTTTGTCAAATGCATTTTTTGCATCTATTGTATAGTTCATATCCTTTCTTTTATTGTGGTACATCTCACGGATTGATTTGTGAATATTGAAACACCTTGCAGCCCAAGAATAAATTCCACTTGATCATGGTGAATGATTGTTTTAATGTACTGCTGGATTTGATTTGCTAGTATCTTATTGAGAATTTTTGCATCCATGTTCATCAGGGATATTGTCCCATAATGCTTTTTTAGTGGAGTCTTTGGTTTTGGAATAAGGGTAATGCTGGCTTCATAGAACGAGTTTTGAAGTTTTCCTTCTATTTCTTTTTTTCTTTTCTTTTTTTTTTTTTTGGAGTAATTTGAGAAGAATATGTATTAACTCTTCCTAAAATGTTTGGTAGAATTCCCCTGTGTAGCCATCTGGCCCTGGGCTTTTGTTTGTTGGGCGATTTTTGATTACTGATTTAATTTCTTTGCAGGCTATTGGTCTCTTCAAATTTTCTATTTCTTCCTGTTTCAGTTTTGGTAGCTTATATGTTTCTAGGAATTTATCCATTTCTTCTAGGTTGTCTGTTCTAGTTGCATATAATTTTTCATAACATTCTCTTATAATTGTATTTCTGTGGTTTTGGTTATTTCTCCCATCTCATTTGTAACTTTACTTACTTGGGTCCTTTCTGTTTCTTTTTGATAAATGTCGCTGTGGGTTTGTCATTAATATTTTAAAAGAACCAACTGTTGGTTTCATTGATCTCTTCTACTGTTTTTTAGCATCTACATCATTTATTTCTGCTCTAATTTTATTATTTCACTTCTGCTGTCTTTTTTTTTTTTAATTTTTTTTTCCAACGTTTATTTATTTTTGGGACAGAGAGAGACAGAGCATGAACGGGGGAGGGGCAGAGAGAGAGGAAGACACAGAATCGGAAACAGGCTCCAGGCTCTGAGCCATCAGCCCAGAGCCTGACGCGGGGCTCGAACTCACGGACCGCAAGATCGTGACCTGGCTGAAGTCGGACGCTTAACCGACTGCGCCACCCAGGCGCCCCTCACTTCTGCTGTCTTTAGGCCTCATTTGTAATTCTTTTTC